TTTTTTTTTTTTTTGTTATTTCATCGTTCATTATTCACCTCATCTCGTTCGTTTTTCGAGATATTTTTCGCGTTTTGTTTTCTCCCTCGCGAAACTGTCTTTTCAGGCCCACCCGGTATATAGTGGCTGGATCAATACTTATGTGTAGGCATATAAGTCACAGAAAGCGGCATGAAAGCGTGCAATGCGATAAGTCACAAGTACCAGGGCTCGGCTGTGCATGTCCTGATCTTTAACAATGATGAATTAAAACAATAAGTTATTATCACACGTTGCGTGAAATTGTTATAAATCGTCGTTCACGTATGTTGAACGCGGTAATTCGCGTACGTTCGAACAGATTTCATCCTGTCTCGGTGAAACGTTCAAAGTCCGAACGTTTAAAAAAAATCGGTCGTCGCGAATTACAAATGATAAAATCATGTCAGGAATCGTAGCTTACTAAATCCGTCAGTATAGTACAGTTCTTCCCTTGTTACAAGGGAAATTGTAAATAATGGTAAGTTGTGTTTTCCTCATTTTGGAAACAATATTTCATTTATAAACAACTGGCATTTAGTACGTATGAAAATATTTTACATGTAAATATATATATATGTGTTATAATTTAAACACATATATATATTTAGTAATTATAAATATATGAATAAATAATATTTAGAAACTAGAATAGATTTGTAATATTCCGCCGTGTTAAATCAAAATCATCTTGATCTATAACTTTCTTTGAAAAAAAATGTCAGGTAGCACAAGAATAATTCATCTAGATTATACATAGTATTATAATATAGTATTATCTATATATATATTATAAATATATAAATATATTTTAAGACAATGTTATAAAATAGTATGAATGAGATAATATCTATATTAAAAGAAAGTTTTAACTGCATTTAAATTGAAGACGTAACAATTGATGTACATGTGTGAAATCCTAAATATCAAATGCTAAGAGTTCCCTCTTTCGTCAAAGCCATCTTTTGCCCAGATATTTGAAACAACACGGTAGAATTATGTTTCTGCCTGATTGTCACACGAGGAAACTTACGTATTTTGCCTACGGGACGAAGTATTTAATTTCTGTCAAAATTTAATCAGTTATTCAATATTCAATTATTCGAAATACTTTTATCAACTCATCTCACTTTTAATTATTCATGGAATGAGAAATGGCGGCCAGCAGTCGACATGTTGATAGTACTAACTTCGACGGAAACATCTTCCAAGGAACGAAAGTCCGAGATTCGTGTTATCGACGGGTTCGGTTGACTCGTTAAGCGTTAAATAAAATAAAACCGAGTCGGCCAGGAATATAAACGCTCGTCTGTCCGAGTGCGAGCGAAGTGAAATCAGGAATCGTTCTAAAATTAATATACGAACCTTGACATTCAAGAACGATCCCCCAGAAAAGATCGCGTATCGCGACTTAATTTTTCATCGGCACGTGAAGAATGATGGAACGTCGCTGACGAAAGTCACGAGTCATGCGGCCACCTTAC